ACCAGCTTGCTCCCTAGGAAGAATGTCGACTCTCAAGGTCGAGCGCTCGCAACACCTCACAATGAGAGAACTCTCAAGACAAGACTCACTTCCTCACGGTAAGAAGCAATGAAGAGGGTAGATAAGGTAAGGACCAACGTACCTCACAGCTGCCCCCATGCATTTGTGCTGACTGGTCGATGCCTCGGCACAACCCACAGTACACTGCAGTTCCACCTCGGCTTAAATGCCACGTCAGCAAGCTCTCATCATCCAGCGTGCACCCACTATGTCACCACATAGCCTTCCAGGCGGCCCCTCTCGACTCAGGGCCGCCTATACATCAACGCACAAGTGTTATCACTGCCTGACCTTATCCCAACGAAGCACCAAACAGCTATTGCGAAGGAGCCAGTGGAGCGGCTCAAACCAGCTCCGATACCAAATTGCAAGGAAAACGAGCGATAGCGAAATGACAGAAATCCAGAGTGCAAAATCACATTGAAAGCCAGCAAGTCCAACGCTGTCCACAAAGCAGAAACGCACTGGTATTCCACCAACGGAGAACCAAAGCACCGAATCCGAATGTCAATGAGAGCATACTCTCGTCATCACCAACATATCTATCCAGAGCCCTTCCTCCTACTTGGGGCTCAGCGCCCAGTCTACGATCACACAGCTACTAGCAGCCTACGAATTGACAATGCATCCTGTTGACATCAGCAGCATCAACCGTATTACGTGAAGATGTTGACCTTGTAGATCGTCACCAAGACCAGGTATGTGCCCTCACATCACAACCTCATCTCTCTCTCTCTCTCTCTCTCTCTCTCTCTCTCTCTCTCTCTCTCTCTCTCTCTCTCTCTCTCTCTCTCTCTCTCTCTCTCTCTCTNCCTCATCTCTCTCTCTCTCTCTCTCTCTCTCTCTCTCTCTCTCTCTCTCTCTCTCTCTCTCTCTCTCTCTCTCTCTCTCTCTCTCTCTCTCTCGGCTTCTACTACCCACGTCTTCGCTCTCATGCATGAAGACCACCACCACCCCCACTGGCTATGTCCAAGCCAAGCCCGGCTATGGGGGCTGGCTATGGCGCTGCCCTCAGCAGGGCCCCGCGCGTGCATGCAGCACCAGCTCTAGCGCATCAAGCAGCCCACGAGTGATCACTCCAGCAGCGCTGCCACCCGCACTTGCAAGTGCCCGAATCTCTCGACTGGAGCCCAGCCCTTTCCTATATGGAAAGTGGCAGGCGCTTTCCACTTGCTTCCCACGTGAGACCGAGTTTCCAGTATTTTCAGTCTCGGCCAAAGTGTCTGCGCTCAGGCCCGTTCAGACAGTGGCCTGGGACCGAATTGGTTAGGCATGCCCAACCACCCAGGCACAAATGTGCGGTGCCACCTGCTTCGCCCACGTTGCCGGAAGAGCCTGGAAGGCTCACAAATATTTTGGATTCTCACGAGCAAGGCAGATGTAACCGACTGGCGCGTGGCAAATGTCTGGCGCCAACCAAGATTTGCAAAAATTGACAAGTTCAGGACGCATTGAGATTCAGGGCCCCCCCCCTTCACTTAGGGCGGGGTTCGCGCCTGCTGCAGGGCCCTATGCCGAGGCATAAATCCTCACAATAATGACCCACAGTCAAAAGTTGCTTGTATTGGAATGCTGCACAATTTTTTTCTTGTTCCCATATTTTTTCTTCAAATCTTTCTGGAAATCGAAATCTGGGAATATTTGCAAAAACGAAAAGTTGAATCCGGACCTGGACACCATCTGTGCACTGGTATTCAGACCCAGACAACCACACTGTCTGCATGGCTCTCCGGATGTACGGGTCGTAACCGTGACTTGGATCCTACCACTTACTTCTCAAGATGAATAGGGTAGGAAGTGAAGAAGACAGAATGCTCCATAAGGAAGAAGAATTTGGAAATGAAAGGGAGGATTTGCGAGGCCGTTAGGCTGTCAGGGAGCACCTAAGGGAGGTGGACGCAAAATACCTGAAGTGTGGGCATTCTGGTGGTCATGTGGATGCACACACACTAACAGACATGTAAAGAGGGGCCATGACCATAATGGTCCACCTCCTGAAGGTAGTAATTATACTACCTCAGGAGGCTTCACTGTAAATGTTTTACAGCTAGCATTCCACGGTCGTCACCTTCTTATGCGTCATGCGACGCCAGGTGATGACCCTAATGACCATCCTCACATTTCTGCCTGTATTTTGCACAGACCCAGGCATTATATGGCACTCATTCGTGCAGCTGCCCAGTGGGAACTGTGGGATGGTGGGATAATGATTCATGCTATTTTCAACATAAATGAATTTCTGTGTGCATTGATGGACTCTCATGGGACACCTGTCGGGACAGGGACGCGGTGCTTCTTGGCTGCGGAATTCATCACCTATGCCATTAACATTATCAATTTATTGCAGCCGCCGCCGTCTGTGCCGAAGGGTGTCCAACATTTCCTCATTGTACACATCCCTATCACCCAGATATTCGTCGTCCCTTTTGTGCTCAAGGATGCTACCAGGACTGCATGATGCCGCACTGTGATGAACGTCCTGCTGTTTTTTTGACATGTGGACAGCATGTCCTTTGTCAGGACACATCCCTATACCCAGATATTCGTTGTCCCTTTTGTGCTCAAGGACGCTATCAGGACTGCATGTTGCCGCACTGTGATGAACATCCTGCTGTGTTTTTGACATGTCGACAGCATGTCCTTTGTCAGGATTATTTTGATGGGATGGTCCGTGCTAGCCGTCCTGCTGAAAGCTGTGGCGAAGTAGCTCTCCTTGCGTATCCATGTGAACATCCACGTCATTCCCAGTGTGCCTGTCCTATCTGCCGGGGTGGGGCCTCTTCTTCCTGACTGTTACATGCTGCGCCTGCACACGAGGGCCATTTTCTAGGCCCTGCGTCCCTCAGGATGAAAGCCTGAAAACCAGGGCCTACAGGCGCCGTGTCTGTTCAGCTTGAAAGCCTGATAAACAGGGGCCTACAGACCCTGTGTCGTTTCAGACTAAAAATGGCAGTAGCCTTTTTAGCCTGAAACGAAGGGCCATTTTCGGTCTTTCATCAGACCGGCCTGCCCTGAAACTCAGGCACCAAATCAGGGTTTTAGGAACAGGCTATTTTTGGCCTGTTCCCACGACAGCTGCAGCGCCAGGCCCTGGCTCAGCTTGGCATTGGCAAGAGCAGCCTCCTGGACTCCCCGCCCTGCAAGTACAGGCAGTCAGAGGCAGTCAGGAGGCAGGCCGAGGTAATACATATGGACTTCCCATGCACTTCACAGGTAGGCAGGAGGCAGTCAGTAGTCTTCAGGATTCGGCAGCAGCACTCTGGAGGAGCGCTGCAGGAGTAGTTGTAGCGTTAGCAGTAGTCTTCAGCGCTGGGTGCTAGTAGCGTTAGTTGTAGTCTTCAGCGCTGGGCGCCATAGCTAGAGTAGTACTAGAGAGAGAGAGAGATTGGGCGGAGGCCAGGGATACTTACCTGCAGCGCCGTTGCGCCAGCTTCGTCTTCGAGGTACCTGCAGCACAGCGCCATCTTTACAGGTTAGTACCTGACACATGAGAGAGAGTTCTTCTTCTTCCTCTTCTCAGTCCACCATCTCCTTCTCACCCTCTCGCTATCTGACGTCACTGCATCAGCAGACTACAAGAGAGAGAGAGAGAGAGAGCTTGGTGACATTTGGATCCAGACTCGACATTGGACTTCAGACATATTGAAGAGGGATTATTTGGGACTTGTAACGAGACTTGGTGTTGACGACTTTCCCATCTCCCCCTTCCTCTTCTTCGTCTGATCCCCTCCTCTTCGTCTGTGTATGTCTAGACCTGGCGCCTCTTTCCTGTGTATAGCGCCAGGCCCCTTCACACCTTGTGATGAGCATGATGTATGTTTGGTCTGCGTCGAAACATTGATTGGGCTAGTCATTAGTATTCTAGCATCCTGCTTCGCTATCTTGTACTACGTGAAAGAGGTCAGTCCCGGTCAAGTCAGGAATTGTATCTAAAGTCTTCCCTGCGCTATAAAGCACCATTTTGTATGTATCGGAATGCACATTGCTTGTTGAGATTCCACTTGCACTGCATTGTGACTGATCAATAGAATCAAGCGATCAGGAGCAACAAATGTGGAGTTGAAGAAAGAAGGAAAAAACAATCGAAACAAAAAGAAAAAAAGAAAGAAAGAAAGAAAGTACAAATTTCTGAAGAAAAGAAAAAGGAAATAAGAAAAAAGAAAGAGAGAAAAATAAAAGAATATGTTGAACCTTGTAGTGACAGTGGTAATTGGTTTGTCTCGAGGATGTGTCATTTGCTTTCTTCCCCTGTCTTTTCTTTGATTGGATCCCTTTCTCTTTCTCTTGCCTCTGTGAGGTCTGGTTTCCTCGTCCTTTTCTTTACCTCTTTGCCTTTTGGCTGCGTGCAAGTGGGTCCTTGTGACACACGGGGATGGGGGCAGCCAGCGCTCAACCTGTCATCCACGTGGCTGGCCGTGTACGTAAGCGGTTATGAACAGGTGGGGCTTTCCTTCCTTCCTTCTGTTCCTTTCCCTGTTTTGCTTTTTTTCGCCTTCGCACTCTGATTCACAGTGTGACAATATATCTCAAAGTTTGTTGGGGGGGGAGGAAAAGAAAGAGGCAAAGTGGTGCTGAATGGGTCGATGTTTTGCAACATTCTCGTAATGTATGAAGGTGATAAGCTGTGGCGTTTGGGCCTAGGGACTCTCTACAGGATATGATATTTTCTGAACTTTCACTGTCATCCACTTTGCATCTGGGAAGTGTGGGCAGTTTGAATCCTTAGGAAGCATGTGAATGTGAAATCTTCAAACAATTTTGTCAAGAATTTAGGAAGCAGTTGTTCCGGTTTTTGGTTGCCTGTGAATCCTTCCTTATGTTTTGTCTACTGTCGTGTGTGTGTGTGTGTGTGTGCGTGTGTGCGTGTGTGCGTGTGTGCGTGTGTGCTGCTGCGTGGATGCGTGCATATTGGCCTAGTGTGTGACACTACTAAGGTGGCTTGGCGAGCGTCTGGACACTGTGTACAAGCTGCATCCGGGCTATACGGACTCTGCCTCACCTCTTCTTATGCTCGACCCGCCAATGCCTCAAGATCTGCCAGATACTTTACGTGGTGAACAGTGGGCTTTTGTACAGCTGCCTCTGGAAGGTGAGGGTTTGTTTCCCTAATGGCTCTGGTTGAAGTGGTGCTAACGAGTAGAAAGTTTCAGTCTGTGGCTTCATTTGTGCTGTCGTTCTTGAGCAGAGGCGCACACTGCAGAGTACAGCTCCCTATTTTCAGGATCTGTACGCTACATCAGGAGGCTGCGGACAGTTATTGTCAGGGCTTGTGTGAGATCTATTGCTACGTAACAGGGAGGTGCACTCAGGGCTTTCAGACATGTTTTAGAGCGCACTGCAATGACTTGCTGGTTTCAGTGGCATGTCGCCTATCTCGTTGAGCCTGTACCATGGGTAGGTTAGATTCATAATTTTGTTTGGCTGTGGTCTAAAGAGACCTACCTGTAGGGAAAATTCGTGAGGGACATAATTGTAAATTCGGGAAAATACCCCCGTACTAACTAAAGTTTCCTACAGCTACCCTAACTGCGAATAGCAAGCCCGGGCTACCCCTAGGACAGACAGGCCCTAAAGGCCTATGCTGATAGACGGTCCTATAGCCTATAGCCGGGGAGGCAGAGGCCGAGAGGCCGAAACAGAAACGGTACCAGTTGGTCCAGTCAGTCCGGTCTAGGTCGTGTCTAGGGTAGTATAGGATATAGAAGGATCGTAGACATCGGCTGGGGGCTTTTGGCAGTTGGTACCGTGTACATCGCTGTGGTGCAACGCATGAACTGGAAGTGGTGACAGCTTCAGCGTTGGAGAAGATGGACATAGCTGGACCTGCGGAGTGTCGGCCATAGCTGGGACCGACGCTGTACTCTGACAGCACGCGGGGTAGTTCAAAGGTTTGAGCTATCTAGAGTCTGCTGGAGGCGAGAGGAGTTGGTGCCCTGCTGAACCCTCCTCCGGAGTAGGGTGTTAGAGTGTGTGGCGCTGCAGCCATACCTGCAGCTTTTCTTCCTCAGAGATCATCTTTGTCGGGAGTGGTGGCGGTGCTCTTTTGGCACTTAATCGTCATCAGATACTGTGGCGCTGGTCTTCTTCTTCATCCTCTGAGAGGCGCTTGGCCCTAGAGACCAGTTTCAGGGTGGCGCTTCCCTCTGGAGGCAGTATATGTGTAGCGCTTGATGTTTCAGGGGTTCAGGGGTAGTAATAGCGGTTACTCAGGGTTGGGGAGTGAAGCACCATGGTACTGGGGTTATTCTGACATTTCGAGACTCTGAGTTTAATAAACAGTGTGAATACTGTGTGCAGACTATCTTTGCTTCATTGTTTCCCTGAATGTGATCTACTCGGCTTTCCTTTGTGACCGGTTGTGAGGATTATGTGGAGCGAATTGCAGTCTCAGTGTTTTCTGTCATATCGCATGGTCAAGTCTGTGTTTATCTCTCCCTGTGCGGTGTGATACTCCCATCCTCTCCCCTTCCTTCTGTGTATGTATGGGCATACCTGGAAGTCTATGTGAGCGAGTGTTGGTCTTCTGACAACAAACAACCAGGTTCATAGCAGTTGGTATCAGAGCGATTGGATCCAGACAGTGAAGCGATTAATAAGTTGGAGCAACCATCATCATCTGGCAAGATACTGGAGTTGAGTTTCATGGTGATTTGTCGTCTTCAGGGCTGACGTCAGTAAGGGTGGTGGTGGTGAGTGTGTGGCGAGAGGTATTGGACAGAGAGTGGTTCACTCCTGCTCAGGGTTGCAGAGGAGTGAGTTCCGATTGATGCTCAGAGGCCTGGGAGGCTTTGAGGAGGCTATTATAGCCCGGCGATTCCTTTGGAAGTGACAATTTGCAAGGAAGTGACCCCCAGAGTGCTGCGATTTTGGAATTGGGTCAAAATTTCCAATTTCCAAGCAGCGCAGTGCAGGTTGGAGCAGCACTGCACTGAGTATCTCAGCTATTTGCATCTGGGAGTCCAGATTCATTGAATCTGTCAGTTGAGGGTGAAGCGCCTCAGGAAGATCTGCATGATCACCAAGTTTCAGAGAGTTCCGTACGTGGGAACACTGGGTACAGGCAGAAGAAGAAACTGGTGAGATGGGTCTCAGGAGACCGCCATAGCCAGGGTTTCGTTCATCCCCTTCGGAGATATCCCTGGCGTAAGTGTGTTCCTTACTCTACTCCGTGGCGATTCTGGGGCTATTTTTAGAATAGAGAAATATGGTCTGTCAAGTAGTGGATAGTTGAAAATCGAAATTAAGACTGCGGGTCAACCATAGCGAACTTCCCCTACCTACCTTCTTTGACTTCTACTAACCCTGTTTGACACTCTTTCTGACTCAACTTTCATCTGTGACTACTTTACAGTGTTGTGATTCATATTGTACTGTGAATTGGACTGTTCAGAGTCCTTTGTCAGTAATATTGAAAATCTGAATTTTGCGTTGCCATAGCTGAAGCTTGGTCTGACTAGGGTCAGTCATAACTTTGGTTCTGCTCGTCAGAATTCAGTTCTGTCAGTCCCTGTAAAATCGCAATTCAGTAGTGAGTCGGTGTCTGAAATCGCACTGCCATATTTGATGTTTTGAGTCAATTACAGTGAGTAGTGTAATTCGCCATACCCCCCAGTATGGCCTAAAGGGTCATCCAGTGGTGAAGTCAGTGGGGAGTATCTAAAAATAGCACCCTTAGTAAATTGCTACATCTTGGTCATCTGTAATCACCTGTCAGTCACTAATAATCACTATGTCTAATTACGGTCTACTACTAATCAGTCCTAGACTGCATCTTGTAAGAAATTAATACAGGATTTGCAGTGTTCTCACTCAATTGATGTGTCAGGGCAGTGAATGGAAAATCGTGAAATTGATTTTTGCAGAGTGTTCTCTAAACTGACCCTGACCCTCAACCGGTCTGCAGAGACTGAGCACTTACCTGCTCATACTTATCAACTTCTTGCTTCAGTCAGGCGACAACAATTGGGCAAGTACTGCAGAGAAAGCCCAATTCCTGTTAACTTCTTTTTCGGTCTTTTATTTTTATTTTTATTTTTATTTTTATTTATTTGTATTGTGGGAAATTTAAGATGTCTGGTTCAGAGAAGGCAGAGGCTTCTGACGTGAAGCCTCAACTTCCTGTTGACGCTTCAGAAGCTTAACAGCGTGGTGAGGAGGAGAAACTTCAGAAACAAGCACAGGCAGTTGAGACTCTGAAGGCCGAGCTGAAAAGGGAGGATAAAGCAGCTCAGAAGGAAGCTAGAAGAAAGTTTCTTGTGGCAGACATAGAGAAAATCAGGGTGAGTGGAATTTCCAGTCAGTACAATAAGGACATGGCCGAGTTCATCCTTTTGCAGGATGACATTCACCGGTCCTGTTTTACTAACTGGGACGAGAGGATTACCAAATTGGAAAACAGTCACTCACCTTTTTAAAAAAAGTTGGATGACATCTCTTCCAAATTTGGTCAAATCTTTACCCATCTGCATATCCCAACCACCCTGACTCTCTTCCATCTCCTGGGGCCTCTCAAGCGGGACCCCAGGAGATGGAGGACATAAAGAAAATCTGGGTGAGTGGAACTTCCACTCAGTACAATAAGGACATGGCTGAGTTCATCCTTTTGCAAGACGACATTCACCGGTCCTATTTCACTAACTGGGACGAGAGGATTACCAAATTGGAAAACAATCACTCAACTTTTTTTTTTAAGTTGGATGACGTCTCTTTCAAATTGGGTCAAATCTTTCTCCATCTGCATATCCCAACCACCCTGACTGCTCCTCCATCTTTTGGGGCCTCTCAAGCAGGACCCCAGCAACCCCTGCAATCCAGACCCTTATCCCCTCCTACACCCAAGTCAACAACAGTTTCACAGCCCTCAGCTCCATTTGACATGCAATGGCCCAAGCTGACCCCTCCACCCATGTTCTCAGGCGAGGACCCGAAGGTGGATGTTGCAGATTGGGTCACTGCACAGAGAACCTACCTAAGTCGGTTCAAATGTGATGAGGATGTGAAGGTGAGGCTGGGGGTGGCTGGTTTTCTGCAGGCACTGCAAGACCGATTTGTAGACAAGGAGCAGGCCAGGAAAGCAGCAAATAAAATTTTGCGCCTGGGCCAGAAAAAGTTTGATGGCTCCTTGTCCAAACTGTACTCCGCCTTTGAGGATCTGCTTATTCATTTCCTAAGGGCAACACCTGAGCAATACCAGCTTGCTCTATTCTCTCAGAGCCACAAGGATTGGCGGTCCTTTGGCAGACCAACCTTGGATTTGGAGTCCAAACTCCATGTGTAGGAAGCACCTTCTGAAGGAAGGAAGGGACCCTCCTCAAAGGGGCATAGAGGGAGGAAAAGTGCCTTGTTTATTGCAGCCTCGAGTTCAGATGATGATGCAACATCCCAGTGTCTGGGACTGCTTCTTCATCTGCTGCAGATCCTGATGTTTTTTCCCTGGCCGATGCTTTGATGGGTCTGACAAAGGGCAAAGCCCTGGCCCAGAAAGCACCAACCAGCAGCAAGGGGAAAGGTAAGGGACATGCCTCTTCCCCTGGTGCCCAGAGAGTACCTCTACCACGTGACGTCCGGTGGCCAGTTGACCCCCTTGACCCTTCCACCTTCCCCCGGCATGCACTCAGGATCCAATAGGGAGTTTGGAGGAAGAGGAAGGACAAGGGAGTCGCACTGAGGTGCGAGGGGGGCCACTTTTTGGAGGACTGTCTAGCATGCCTCGCAGGTCTACAGGTAGCTCTAGTTCAAAAAACTAGAGCAGAGAGAGGTGGAAGCAACACCTCCTTCCACCAATGTTGATTCACCTTCTGATGAAGATGAATCTTCACATTCTCTCGCTTTTTTTTTCTATGCATTTGCATCTTCAGGGTCCTTCACTTTTGAGGACACTGAACTGGATGAAACGTGGGAGGAGGATGAGTCCCATAGCCTTGCTGATCTCTTCCTGTCCTTGCAGGAAAGAAAGAAACACAGGTCAGAGTGAGGTGGAAGCAACAACTCCTTCCACCAATGTCGATTCACCTTCTGATGAAGATGAATCTTCACATTCTCTCGTCGGTTATTTCTATGGAGTTGCATCTTCAGGGCCCTTCACTTTTG